AACGTTTTCCAGGCCAAGGACCCCTAAGCTGATGGCGAGATGGAGCGGAGACCCCCTAATTATATATATTCTATGAAATTGTGTTTCATTAACTGATCTCTAACCATGTCGAGGACATGAAGCAGAGAAGAGTGATGATTGATGCTCCTCAGGTCTACTTTCAGGATGTGGAAGAGATGAAAAACTCATTCCTCGTGTAACTCCATTTTCACGTCTTCCTCTCGTAGTTGTATTTTCAGGAATTTCCTTCATAATATTCAATCCTCCTTTTAATGAATAATGCCTGAAATGTTTTAGAGAATCAGTCCTCTGGAAACCAGGCCTGAGGAAAAGCAAACTGATTTATTTAAATGTTGACCTTCATGGGATCCAGGAAAGTTCCAGAAGGTCCAGATCTGTAGAGCTAAAGGTCAGATGGTTCCTCTTGGTTCCTCCATGACTCTCTGAAGCTGAGTTCAAGTTAGACGTTTGGAGGAGCTTCTCCATACACTGGAAAAACGATCTAGAAATAAGCAAAAATGTCTTAAATTAATTGTATTTACCTTAATTTGAGTTGGTAATTGAGATAGTTTGCAAATGGAATGAGTATTTTTACTCTTAAAATAAGTAAAATATAAATAAAATAAAAACATAAAATAACCTTGAAATAAAACAATACAATTGTGTTTTCTTATATTAAATGTAAATTGTCTTGTTCCATTGGCAAAATGTCTTTTTTATGTCCTCAATCCAGGAATAAATGCACTCATTTTAAGAAAGAAATGACTAATCTCGATTTTTATGTTTTCCAGTGTACCGTCACATTCTGCCCATTTAAATCCTATTCCTGGGTTTTATTTCTATGTGTCAGAGCTGGCTACCTCTCAGACATGTGCGTAACGTCTAAAGCAATAATCTTCCTGCTTTCCTCCACAGATTAGCCTGTGTGTGCAGTCTGGGCTCGGACTTCCGGCGCGGTGCAGGAGTTCTGGACATTGCATTTGAGTCTCCGTTCCAGCTCTTCACCTGTGGCTACGATACCTTCATTCGACAGTGGGACCTCCGGCTCAGCCCACAGTAGGCCTCTTCTTCACTCTGCTCCTCAGCTTCAGACAAACAGGGGCTGCATCCTGTCTGGGAATGCCATGTTCAGAGGATGCAGCCCCTTAATCGGACACAGACAGTTTTTATTCTGTGCTCCCAAAGTAGAGTAGATCATGACCGACTGGAGGTTTCGCCTGAGCTTTAAGGAGGGATTGAACTACATTTCCTTAAAGTCTTAGGGAAATCATATTTAAATTTCAAATCATTCTGGCTTAAACATGTATCTAAATGTAATCTTTATCAGATGATATTGTCCCAAAATTTAGAACATTTCTATAAAAAAAAAAAAAAAGAAATCCTGTCTTAAAATCTGTTTGTTTGTTTTTTTGTTATCTTATCCAGGCCAGTTAGTTATACGTCAGTCTGAACACCTAAATTTGGCCAATCAGATATCAACTGTCATCTGTCAATCCAATTTTTTCGGTCATAGCATCTTGATACATACGTCGCAGGAACAATGATCTGGCCCCGATTGCTCGGGTTTAGTTTATTTAAGATCCCTATTAGCTGTATCAAGCTACAGCTATTCTTCCTGGGGTCCAACAAAAAATATGAAATAAAAAAATTACAAATGAAATAAAATTATGTGGACATTAAAACAACATCTCCCATAATCTATACATATACATAAATACATACACACATATACACATACATATATACATATACATACATAACCATATACATACACAGAAACAATCCAAAATAATCAAAACAAACTACAAAGCACAGCAAGTGAAGAAGACTGTGTACTCCCTCACAGACCTAATCGTGTTTTATGAGACCACCTCTATATTTAATAAATGTTCTTTCAATGATCTTTTAAATTTCCTTAAATCAGTTATCAATTTAATGTAATTTGGCAGTAAATTCCATGCTTTCATACCTCTATACATAATAGTTCTTATTAAGGCATTTGACTTTGCTTCAGGTAAACTAAAGTTTCCTTCAGTTGCATGCCTAGTCATGTATTCGTGATTCTCCAAACTAAAAGTAAGGTTTGTAAATAACATATAAGGTGTTTTTAATACTGATACATTTCTAATCATAACAATCAATGAGTATGAAAGTCTGTCTTTAACCAACAACCAGTTTAACTTTTTATGCATTGTTATGATATTTGTCCTTAAATCACACTTCAATATTATTCGGGCAGCTCTATTTTGTACATGTTGTAGTTTATTTAGCATAAGTAGTGAGTTGTGCGTATAGCCCATTGTC